TGAATGAGTGTATTGCCTGCATGTATGTAAGTGCACCTGTGTCGTGCAAAGACTGTGGAGGCCAGAAGAGGGCTTTGGATGTCCTGAAACTGGAGTTACACTCAGTTGTTAGTTGACCTGTGAGTGGTGAGAATCAAACCTGGGTCTTCTGGAAGAACAGCGAGTGTTCTTAACCACTGAGCCATCTCTCTAGCCTCTAAATATGTTTATTACTTATTACTGGGTTTTGCATGGTACTTAAAAATTATTTCCAAATCAAAAAAGAAATACAAAATATTGTCTAATTCTGGCTAGTCCATCTATGATTGATCAGCAATGTTAGACTTTCTGGGACTAATTTTACTTAGATATACATAAATTATGATATATATATAAAATCACAATTTTCCCTCAGTGTATCCCACACCCTGGCTATCATGAATCACTATATAGTAAACACTGAAGTACAGATTTCTCTTACCAGAGTCTTTGGAGAGCAGAGGAGAAGGTTGGTCACCAAGTACACTGAGAGGAATAAGCTCTGGTATACAAAAGCGTAGTAAATGAATATAGTTTACAGCAGTGTAAAATAAACCTAAAATAGCTGAGTGGATTGTGAATGTGCTCACTGTAATGAAACAGAAAGAAGCTTCTGAGCTGTGGCAATAACAAGGGAGACAGGAATGTTGCAGGGCGGCGGGGGGGGGGGGAACAGAGAAGGGCGCAGGTGTTTATTACTCTTCTGGGAATACCCAGGGATCCTCTAGGAATGGAACGCCCAGTTTTCTCTCCTTTTTGAAGGAGAAATATCTCAGCTTGGAAAGCCCCAGCTAAGTTGAGAAACCCTCCACCCAAAACTGTGTGAAACTGCAACCCCTTACCCTGTGACTGTGCTGGGTTCACATATAACCCATTGTCCCAAACTCCCAAACCATAAAAAAACAGTACTGCAGAGAAATACCTGATCCTTCCTCCTAAACTCCATAAAAGCTGATACTGTGTTTCAGAGCCTCCATTTCCGTGCTGAGGAGAAACTTAAGCAAAAACAATCTGCTCCTGAGATCAGTCTTGTTCATTTTCACTTCACCCTGGTCAATCCTAATCTAACATCTTCTAACATTTGGTGCAGAAACCAAGGAGGGGTTGGGGGGTCCCGAGTCCCAGCCCCTTCCTCTGGGCGAACTTACTTTCTTTCACCTTCCTCCCCTCCCCTCCCCTCCTCTCACCTTCCCACTGAGCCACACCTAGGGGCAAGGGCTAAACAGCTGCCAGCCTGACCTGGAAACCTCACCCTCTGCTCTGGTGAGCAGTGCAAATCCTGTGCAGGGATTTTATTGGTGTCTTGGGTAAACTCAGTTCCCAGTTTTTCAAAACTTTCCTTTGACTCTCCTATCCCCTCCAACCTTCAGAACAGAGACCCTCACCATCTGACCCACCAGTGTGAGGGACACTCATTCTCCAAGGTAAGATTCCTTAGGCTTTTGCCTTTTTCAGACCCATGGTTCTTTGGTTTTTCCCTTTGTTGGCTTTTTGCCATTGGCTCTGCCATCTTGGTTACTCCAACTAGGGGGCGTCAGTTCCAGTTCCTAGATTTCATTTATCTGACTCCTAGCAGCCAATGTCCGTATGCTGCCAGGGAGAATAGACTTTCGTTCTTACCATGCCTAAAATGGTTTCTGTTCCTATGGATATGCCCCTGGCATGCCTTAGAAGTAACCTTAATAAAACATTAGGCTTTACTGACCTCAAGCCTGTCACTTTAATTCATTTAGCAACTGAGGCCTAGACACAATATAAATTGGACAACAATCATGTCTGGTCTGAATCCCAATTCTCATTGATTTAGATAACTCCATAGAAACATAGTGGCCAGAGATCTGAAGTACTCTATCTGAACTCCTTTAAATCCTGCCTGTTTTCTCCCGTCTCTCCCAGCCACAGAAGCTGACCAGCAAGCTATTGAGCCAGCAAACTTCTCATTCCCCTTCATGTCCCTCCTCTCAGCAAATTCCTACCAGAGGTGACACTCTCCAACCTCAGGGGACTCATTCTCCCCAAGATGCTCATTGGGCACAGAGCAGCTTTTCTCCACGGTCCACCAGTCTTTTCTCCTTGGTACCTGGTCACCCTGAGTCACTGCTTGCAAAATCTGAAACAAATGCTCTTTTTGTATCATTTAGTAACTGGCATTTTATTTTGTCTCGCGTTTTTTTTTTTGTGTTTTTCCCTGTGGTCTTTTTTGAGACAGGGTCTCCCTGTAGCCCCCCGGGCTAGCATGGAACTCACAGAAATTCACCTGCCTCTACCTCTGCTAGGATTAAAGGTGTGAGCCACCAGCCACCACGAGGGGCATAGTAACTGGCTTTTAAAAGGAACTGTTTTAGGTTTTTACATTGTTCTCACATGTTTTACATTGCTCTAACTTGTTTTTAAAAAGCATTATTTTAGAGACAGTCCGATCTCTGTGAGTTCAAGGACAGCCTGGTCTACAGAGTGAGCTCCAGGCCAGCTGGAGCTATAGGGAGACCCT